TCTGTACACATGAACCACAGATGAACAGACTGTTCATGCTGGACTTACAGCGTCTTTAGGTCGTGGAGGCACCGCAGGAGTTGGTTCCTCCAGCCTCCCTGGGTCATTTCTTTTCATCTGTAAAGATCATTTCAGATTTCATCACTTACATAAGTGTGTAGCCTTGCCACCACAACAGCCTGAAGTCATACACATATATATATATATATATATACCTACTGACAATATTAACACATTATTAACTTTGTCAGGCAGATAATCAAAGGTGGGGGTTTATCACAATACCTCAGCAGGCTTTGGAGGAGGTTTAGGCTGCAAAGAAAACATGAGACAATGTGAAACCTGAGTGTGCATCATGTTAGGATACGTTACATAGCATTGTGTGTATGATATTCATGATATTTTGGGGGTTGTTTATATACTATATACTGTAGCCTTTCTGTGGAGTGTTTTTTTTAATTTTTTTTTATGTCCTATAAATGTTCTCACCGGCTTCGGTTTCTTCTTGACTTCTGGCTTCATCATACATGCCTCCATTCTGCCTGTTAAAACAACACGAGATGAAATTTTTTAAATGGGGCCAATTACACGTTCGTGCTGGTTCAGCAGAGCGTCGTCACTTTAAATGGCTCTTTGAATACCTACTGGACCAGCTGACAGTAAGAAACCAGCTTCCACAGCTGACATGTCACGGCAGGAAAAGCACAGGTGTAAATAATAACATTAATAACAGCTGAATTAAATTATGTGTTAGTGATATCCAGGGCTAGACACTGGAAAGTCCCAATTACATACTAATAGTATACAGAATATATTACATTGTCAAAGAATCAAAGGCAAGGAGAGGAGGAAAACTTGTGCTTTACATGAAAATAAAGAAGGAACGAGCAAGACAGAAAGATTGATAGTGACCAGAAGAAGAAATCAATGTACTTTACGCCACCATCTGCAATATGTTTCAATGTTTTGCAGCTGTGAGCAATTCCTCCATTTCCTTTGTGCACTGCATGCTGGGAGGAAAAGCGTGCATCAAAAGACACAGTAATAATCAGCATTGTCAAAGCATTTTTTTTTGACTTATTAAAAATATAAAGACTTAAAAACCTGCTTTGAAATAAGTATGTAGTTTAAAATAGGAACACAGCTCAGGTATTGTACATGCTGGCTTCCTGGGACAACATGAGACAGAGCCCTTGTTAATGCTTGTTAATGTTATTAGTAACACCTGTGCGTTTCCTGCTATGGTGTGTCAAAATGCCTGCTGTGAAAAAGACTTCTGAAAATGCTGTAATTGCAGTAAAAAGTGCAATGATTTGAATATTTTCCTAGTCCTCTATTATAGTACACTGAATATCTTTGACTTCTGGACAATTGGTTAGACAGCACAAGACATTATTTGGGGTTCTGGTAAGGTTTTGCCACATATTTTTTTATTGTATCAACCAACAACCCAAAATTATTCAATTCACTGTGAAAAACAGCAAATTCTCAAAATTGAGAACCCAGAACCTTCAAATGTTTGGTATCTTTGCTTGAAAAATGACTTAAATTTGTTTCTAACAACAAAAAATGTTCTTTCAATAGACAAAAAGTTGCAGCTCTTAATTCAGCAATGCAAAAACGTTAAAATACTGCATTTAAAAGCACACAGAGGTACTGCAGTATCAGCAGCAGGACAGACCTGGCAACACAGTACTTACTAGCAAGTCACCATAGAATTCTCTGTTTGCAAAGTCTTTATATGTAAAGAAACTATTACCAGCAGTAGCTGTGCAGCACAATGAAAAGTGAGTATAATGAGTATAGTGAAGCACAAAAATGGTGATTCTCAAGGACTTCAAAACTGTATAAGTAGCAACAATAATTTTTAACATATCTGTTCACGATAGCTAACCTAGCCTTCAACTTCTCCTGTAACTGTCAAACCAAGTGTCACCACAGTAGATAAAGTCTGAAGTTACAGACTTTGGTTACAACATGAGACATTTGGAGAAGTGCCACAATACACTGTTCCTAAACTTGTAGCCCGGAGTGTGCTGAAAACAAGTCAAAGCCAAAATATGGACGGTGAATTACAAATTATAAACGCCTCTGAAGACACAAACACTAAATCACTTTCATGTCAGACTGAGCGCTTTCACCTACCGAGGGTTTGAAGACATTGAAGATATTAAACATTCAGTTTTTTACCAAATAACACCAGAGCTACGTGAACTAGCGGCTCGTTCACAGATAACACATTCCCAAGAGTTTTTTAACTTCACCACACCCACACAACATCTGCACCCATGATGCGTTCAAGAGCTCCTCAAAACCTCAGATATCCCAGATCTGAAGTCATCTCACTCTGCAGTGCTTTTGTGTTGTCTTTGTTATAAAGGCTACAGAACAATTTGTGTTGGATGTATTTGCAAATAAGTGGTATAAAAATGAGATTTTCCCATATGTCAGCTGCACATTTATAATACTTACGAATTTACCATTTTATATTTTACATTCAGACTACAAATGTAGTTTGTAAATAAACCATGTATATTTTTGTCCAATAAATAAATTAGACCAAACAATGATAAATAACATATTACTACAAAATTACGTACTTCCATTACTTAATGAGGATAAAATTGAATACTTATTTTAACACTTCACTTGAATGAGTCCTGAAGTGAAGTTGAAGTCCTGAAAGTTGCCACTGAATGCTTAGTCCAATTCTTGTTTGCTTATGTTTTGATTTATTTATTTATATTTGCCATTGCCTGTAATTTCTAATTAAAAGTAATAAGATTTACCCAACATCTTCATTAATGCTTTGCACCATTATTTGTATTTCACATGTGCCTTTATTCTACTTTTTAAAAAAAACTTTTATTTTAATACATAGGCATATGCTTGATTTATTTTAGATATTTTTCATACAATATCTGCATATATATTATTTATATTATGTATATATTTATTTTACTATGTATATATATTTGTCAGATCAATTTCATTTTGAATGAATAAAACTATTTCATTATTTTATCGTTGGGCAGATAGTAACTCTGTTTAGATTAAGTTCTTGCATGCAGTTTTTGTTAAGACACCATAAAAATGGTTTATGGTTTTATTAAAATAGTGATATACTGTATTTTATAAGTTGGGCCTACATAAAATTCTGATATGAAACCAGATATTTGAGAAAAATGTAGTAGTCATCAAAGTCAGATAGCAAAACAAAAAATATCACTCTGGTTTTACCACTAAAACACTAGTATCCAATTAGCACCAGCATCAATAAATTTTGACATCTATAATGTCAACATCCTGTTTCATTTGGAGATTTTTCAAACAACACAGGAGCACTGCATCAGCGAGAAGCATTTGCAAAGTGATTTTAAAGACAAAGTGTTCAAAACAAAAAAAAACAAAAAAACAAAAAAAATGTGCTTAAATAGAAGTTGGAGATAAAAACATGCAATATAATTTATTTAACCTGCATGAAATGCAAAACAACAATATGCACGTCACTGTGAGCATGCAGCTTCCACCCTCTTCACCTTTACATCTCAATAATTCATGTGCACTCTACCTGTCTGTCAAGTTTCACAAGTATATTTACTTCCACGGTAGGTAATAAAAATATTTCCGACACCACCCAAAGGCAACGTCGAACAAAGCATCTTAAACAAACCAAAACACGCCCTGAAAGCTCCTGTGCCACAAATCCTCACTCTGAAATTATCTTCAATATTTCAAGGAGACATCCCGACGCACTTGGTCATCAAATGTCCATCATTTAATTGTTCCAACGATCAAAAGTCCAATATCTCACCTGGTCTTTGCAGTTGGAGAGGATGCAAGATCTGATACCTTTGTGCTCTGTCTGGCTCTGCGGTGGCGGTGGAGTCACCTGGGAGTGGGGCGTGGCCAGTTTCAAGCTCTACCTGTGTCAAGCTCTACCTGTGTCAGTGGGAGTGAAGGAAAGCGCATCCCGGCCTCTGGTTCCCAGCCTGTGTGACTCTGACTCATCAGTTTCACAAGACGTCAACAACATGTAAAGAAAAGCCAAACGTAAGGTGGGAGGTGTTCCAGAAATAGAAAATAAAAAAAGCAGCAGTTATCTTGACAGAACTACATGAGAGTGAAATGTTATTAATGAGTAGTGGAAAATCACTGGCGGCAGCTGAATGTGTGTTGATAATATCACAGCAGGTACACAGGTCAACCCACCACTTTAGATTTTTTACTTCAAACTCTAATATTTTCTGATTATTTCACATTTTTTGACATTTTATTTTTTTGTATCAATATGTCTCATAGATAACAGAAAACACATGATGCTAGTTATGATTAGTTACTTTGCTAAGAAATGTTTTTTGTTTTTAAGTTAAATCAAGTCCAGAGGCCAGACTGGATTTATTTTGAAGGCTTGTGTGCCCTTATTCCTTCATATTTGCGAATGTTGCAGTTATGAGGACTCTGAGATTTAACCAAATTTGGAGGGGACAGTGATACTGTTCTTATTATTGAAAGACATTTGTATGGGAAGAACCATTCAGGAACCTGGCATGATGTATGTGGTCTTATTTATCATTATCAGTGGAGCGTTTCTGTCTTGGTGCCTAAATAAAACTGAGGATTTTCTAAAAGGGAAACCACCAAAAACAGGATATAAATTGTGACAAAACATTGACTGTTATCTTGTTTATCTGGCCTTTGAAACCTATAGTTTGATCTTGTGTTCTGTAGCTGTGCAGATAAAAGGTTAAAAATGAATGTGCCAAAAATTAAAGGGTGACAGAAATGCTGAGACATTTGCAGCTAGCATACTTCCATCTACATTCATCATAAAAATCTGAGGAAAAGTAAACAGTGCTGAAGGACACTCTGTCAAACAAGTTTATCTTAATTGAACAAATACCAACTCAGTAAGTGCTCAGTAATCGGTAGAAGGAAATAAAGTTTGTTGACTTCCATAGACTTAACAAAATGCACAGATTGACAAAGTGTTTCTCAGACTTTTTAATGACAATTTTTACATTTTACATTTCTTACACATGAAGTTCTACAGTATTATTGCACATAAAAAAGTGTCACCGAATAACCAGTTCAACCCAGAATAAGACAGAAAAATAAATATGAAGTTCATTAATCATTCATCGTCGGAGCTTGCTCTAATAAAGGTTGAGTCAGTACTGGCTGGTTTCTTTACAGTGTCATTCCAGTCATCTAATAAGGATCTTTTTTACACCTGGAAAGCATCTAATATAACAGAAAACATGATACAAAACCAATGGCTTAGCCAGTTGCACCAACATGTGCTTGGGAGCTTGTTTAATTATTTTACTTTGTGTACAAAGAACATGACATGAACATGACTAAATTAAAACACACTGCCCCACAAAATTCTTTCTCATGTATGGATTAGTTACAACTTAACACTAACACCAAGTGGCTGCAGGTGTTACTGTTGCCTAGCTAACAGAACAAAGCTTCCTAATATGACCGTGTTTAGACTGAAAGGTTTCAGAAGTAATGTAGAATATAGGAGATATATCTGACTTCACACTTGATCAAAATGCTGTTTAATAATAACGTGAACTAGGAGAAAACACAACCCGGGCCACCGCAGTTAGGACTAAGCCTTCATGGTACGCGCTCTACCATGTGAGCCACCGGGGCACCCCCACTCTGTAAGTTTTAATGGCACAACCCAATTTAGCGAATCACTGGCTTTGCACTCGCTTGTAGCTAGCAAGGACTAAGGACTTAGCACTCGAAATCAGTGATTGACTAATGAACAGTTGATGCAACCCATATGATGTCAGGAAATGGTTTCACTGCAGCCCTGACACCCAAATAACAACTCAAGGAATCAGACCCTGCTACGCTGCATCAGTGTATTTCTAAGGCATTATAAATAATAAAGGCACTTGTCCCTAGGAGTATACACAATCTCTACAACTGGTCAGTAAAAGCCCCAGTGTTTCAATATGAACCAATAAACATTGACGAAACTAAGCAACACTTTAAAATCTAAATGGTTAAGTCTAGAAAATACTTTGTGCATATTTCTTTAATTAATCTAAAACAGTATTAGTATACTAATACATGATTTATTTAAATCCTTCAATCCCACTTTCTAAAAAAAAAACAAAAAAAAAACATGGCAATTTCACGCATTGGCACACCTGCCTGAGAAACATATGATACTTTATCTACCACAAAACTCCAGTTCCTCCCCGTAGTGTTAATGCTGATCAGATTTCAAGCAGTCAGTTCCCTAAAAGAGAAAGCCAGAGGCTTTAGAAAGCTGTATGTAGTGAAGTCTCCTCTGTGGACATTCAGAATACATCTGATTGTAGTTTGAGTCGGTACTTTCAAAAACTTTTTGCACTGGGAACTGTTTTTTTTCGGTCAAACATATTCTCGGTTCTCAATGTCCTTTTTGATGGCTTTTTTAATGCGGTCGATTTCATCTTCATCTGAACTCTCATATTGATCATCTTTCTCTTTCTTGTCATTGTCCAAATCAGCTGTATCTTTGTCTTTGTTGCCCTCTGGTGTGGTGGACTGCAGCTCCTCTCGTATGCTGTTGAGCTCAACCAGACCGTCGTGCAGTTGCGTTGCCACCTCCCTGATTTTGGCAGCGAACTCTGACTTGGCCCCTTTCTTCAGTTCCTTGGAGTCTTTAGCCACAAAGTAGATGTCCATACCTACGAAGAGTCCAGTGAGCACACCTGTGGCCATACTGGCAATCTGGACCGCTCTGGCTGCTGTGCTGCCGGCCACATTGGCGATCTGAACCACACGCATGATCTCATTGGCATTGATGAGGATCGCTTTTCCCGCCATGGCACCATCCTCATAGAAACTACTAGTGAGCGCTGGGAAGTCACGATTATAAGCATGTTTTTTCATCTTGAGCAGGTCAAATTTGCGCAGGTTTTCGATACCCTGCTTGATGAATTTCAGGCACTTGTTCAAATCCACTATCTTCTCCTGGTAGTCCTCCACGATCTTCTCCACCTTCTTGCGGTCCATTGAGTTGTTGACCTGGTTGGAGATGCCAGCACCGGCTGATGTCAGACCGCCTGCCGCGGCTACGCCCAATCCCACCGCCGTCACAATCAAAGAGGTACCCAGGGTGACCGGGGCCAGAGCGAGGCCAGCGATGGTGGCAACACCCCCAATGGCGCTGGTGGAACCACCGGTGATTTGAGCGATCTTCGTGTTCTTGTTGAACTTGTCCAGGGCGTCGGCAATGCCGTTGAGGTCGATGACATGCTGCCAGAGGCTCTCAGCGCGCTCTGAGAACAGTTTGTTGAAGACGCGGATTCCCTTCTGCACCTTTTCAGCCGTCAAAGCAAACGCCCTGAAAAGAGAAAGTTAGAAGTAATCACGCAGAGCTAGGTCACTGTATAATAATGACACTACCACTAGTGTATCTAGCCATGCCAGAAAATTGTGCTTTTATTTGCCCAAGTTTTGACATATCCAGCTTCCTCTTCAAAGCAATGGAGGTTTATACGTTGTTCTCTGTTGTGCGAAACACTGAACAATTTCATTTGAAAACCAGCAACGCATCTTTCTTGACACAATGCCATGAGAGAGCTACTCTCTAGTGAAAAAAGTGTCCCTAGGAAAACTGCTGACAAGATGTCGTGTGGATTGTGCGTATTATTTCTGTTTTTTTGTTTCTGTAAATGTAATTTTTCGGTGTTCTGAGCCGCACAAATGAAATTATTTCCTCCCTTCTATTGGGGAAGACATTTTAGATGCGGATATCTCAAAACTTTGGTAGATAAAACTGAAAATATCAGCATGGCTCAGTACCACTAGAAGTAAGAGAAAATAAAAGTGCTGCCACTTCAGAGACCAAAGAAGCGATGCAAGTGAGATCTATGAACACCTATTTGAAACTTCACTTACTTGGCCTCTTCTTTATCTGTCATTTCATCATCTTGAGGCGTGTCTTCCCATGCTGAGGAAGTAAATGTAATTGTTAACATTCTCATCATGTTAAATACAATACTTGGCCAAAAGTATTTGGACACTACTGTCCAATAAGATTAAGATTTCTCTTAATGTGAATTTAGTGGCCCACACTTTGAAAATGCACACAAAACATGTAAACAGAGTTGTCCACATACTTTTGGTCATGTGGTGCAAGTGGTTATAGAAGAAACTAAAAATTTGGCACTCAGAACAAAACCCAAAGGAAGCTAGACAAAATGAAAAACATTTTATTTGTAACTCACGCTCCACTGTGTTCCACCACTCCATAAGATCCACATCCTGAAAGATACCGTTGGATTTGTGTGGGTTTTCATGTTTATGGTTAATAATGACACATCAGACTGTACTTGAATCTAAACTTGGTGACACATTTTGTTTCAGAGACCAACCTGATCATCTTCAGGCTGCACTGGGTCAATACGGAAGTCCTCAAGCTGGTCAAACAAGGACCTGTTTCCACCTTCATTCTGAAACAATAGAAATAATACAGCTTAAAAATCATATATGAAGACCAGTATTTTTTATTCCTGTGTTCAGACAAAATCTCTGGTTCTGCAGTGTGGAGGAAGTGTATGGCAGTGACACTCAAGGCAGAGAAACTTATCTTACTGAAGAACCACAAATGCTCAGTTTCACTTTTTATACTGTATGTGCTCAAGATTAAGAGGAGGAAGTGTTGTTAAAAAGGATTCTGAATATACTGACTGTTTTTTTTTTTTTGCAGAAGTACAAAGAGCCAAAATCTTCCATGGTCACATTGAAAAAGGAAGCAGAGGAACAAGTCTGGACACATTGCCATCTAATCTCGTCTCAGCTTTCATGCTGAGGACCTGCACTGCACAAACACCGTGTTAAGGTGTGGGGGTGGGTTTCATGTCAACAGTGGAGCAACAAAGCACGTTGGCTATAATAGTCTCTGTTGGGAGCTGAGTGGACGCCCTGGAGACAAACTGTAAATAACTGCAAGAAAGGGGTTGTTTTCAGGGAGGATGAGGGAAGGCGTCGGGTGACTGAAACACACCTTTTGTAATCCTGGACCATTATGAGTAAGACTGCAACATGTCATTCCAGTGGACAGATATACTGACACAGACTGGGTGGGAAAAGGTTAGAAGTTGCTTTTAGTTTGAAGCTCCGTGTGTATGTGCGTGTGAGAGTTGACTGGAATAAGGGAAGTAAGAAAGACAAGCAACATCAAACACAATTGTCTGTGTCAGAGAAAAAACAACTGATGAGCGTTTTATTTTCTCTACCTCTGCGTTGTTGCCCTCAGCTTCGTCCTGTGTATGCCTCTGTATAACTTTGCCCTGAAAGAAAGGAAGATAAACACACACACACACACAGGCACGCACGCACGCACGCACACGCGCACACACACACACACACACACACACACACACACACACACAAAGAGTTACAGCACTTTCAATATCAATTTGTATTTGGGCTGATACTGGTTCCAATCCAGACAGTTACAAATCCATTAAGAATTTGATGCAAAGCCAAAAAAGGAGAACTGGACAAAATATCAATGGCACAGTAACTTCTTTTTTTTCCATCTTCCAGGTTCTTCAAATGAGCAGCGAGGTAACTAGCTCAACGCTTTGCTCGTAAAGGTAATATATGTTTGGGATTTCTGCTGTGCTACTGTAACTAACTGTCAAAATAACATGGGACTTCATATCTTAAGTTAGCAGCAAGAGAGATAACAACAGTGGAGAAACAAAATGGATACAGAGGCTTCCATACAGATCACAAAGGCTAATTGCTGATTGGATCAGTATGAAAATGATGTTCAGAACTGAACACCTACAGACAGCGCTCTCCACCATCACCGTCAAAATATTTTTGGAAGTAAGGTGTTCATCCATGAATTTATAATAAGCAGCACTGAAGCTGTTCTGGAGCCGTGGTGGAGCGACACTTTACAAAGTTATTTCATGTTCCTGCTACTTTTCTTTAGGTTTAATAGCATTTTCTTTCTCCTGTCACTCTTTTTTGTCACTTTTTTGTTTTTGATATTGATCTTATGCATAAGAGTTGATTATTGAGATAATAAATGAATAACTGATCTTAGAAAGGGGAACAAAACACACATTTCTCTCCACTGTTACTCTGACTACCATCAATTCAGACTTGTGCCGTTTGAAAGAGATACGTGAATGTTACTAGGCAAGAGTAACTTGTAACTAGACAAAATAACTATTACTCTCACTGAGTGCTTGAAATGGGAGGATCAGTTGTATATGACCTCATGACAGTAAAATGCAGTATGACATAGGGCTGTATCAGTGAACTCCAAATTCCAGTTTGTCCAGTTCAGTAACATGCAGAAACACACTGTCTGCTGAAAAGGTTTCACACTGATACAGATCCACCTGTTCATTTTTACTAGGATATAGGGTTCCAGAGATGTGACTCCAATGACATCACCTGCTCAGTGAGCCCAAAGTGCAGCGCTACCCTTGAACATGACTGTGACTGTTTGGTGTGTTAGAGGACATTTTGGCAGCGTTAATACAAACAGGTGTAGCAGACATGAGAGGAAGCAAGTTTTGTACGTGTCACATGTTTGAATGCTACCTTGACCCGTGGCATGAAGGGATTGTGCCGCTTAGGTTTCTTGACTTTGGTCTAAAAAGAAAAAGAAAAAAAAAAACAGGATTACAGTTACAGTTACTCCAGGGAGGGTACAGGTCAAACTCTCAAATGTTCCTTCAGCCGTAATTTCAGTAAAATGTTCCTGATGACTGTTAATATCATAATCAAACTAAAAACTGTTAATCAACAAGCCAAAAATTAAGCTGAAGGAATTAAGTTAAATTACCTCCTCTCTTTTATCCTTGTCCTCCTCATCTTTGTTTTCCTCTTTGGATGAAGATTCATCTTCTTCTTTCAGCTGTTCATCATCAGATGCAGCCTAAAACAAACCATAAACAGGTAAGCTATAATAAAGTGTCAGCGTAACAATTAAGTAAATAGTAACACAAAGTTGCATATGAACTCAAAAAAAAATGAGAAGGTGATGATTTAAACATAAGCTCCATTGATGTAGGCGCAAATTAAATAAATGTCGACCACAAATGTCATGTACCTTGGCTGCAGCACGTGGCATAAAGGGGTTATGGTGCTTGTGTTTTTTCACCTTGGTCTGTAAAGAAAGTGACAGTGACAGATGTTTTAGGTGAAATGAGAAGCAATAACTGGAAGAACTACATTTCATTACAGCTGCCGGTGACCTATATCTGAAGAAGAAGGGCACTCAGAGAGAGCAGACATCCGCCAACGTCAAACAACACACGCCAGAAAAAATAAATAAATAAAATAAAATTCATAGTAAATAATACGAATCTGCCCCAACATTTAATGGGCTCTTCCCTGGTCCGTGCTCCATCAAACAGACACAGTCTGATCTCACCACAATCTACTCCTGTCACTTAAGATGAAGAAATTCTACTCGTTATCAAGCAGCAGTCTGCTAGTGGGACAGTCATAAGAAGCCGTGCACCAGAATATTGTTCAAATCAACAGAAAGCCATTATAAATTCTAATGGAGGTCCAACTGTTTCCCAAGATACCAAATATATGTCAGGCTAGATTTTGGTTATGCATGTAAAAGTGTATAAAATCATTCACAAGACATCTACATGACAGTAACAGTAAGTAGGACATGGCATCTTGGGTTTTAATATTTCCCTCAGTGTAAACCTAATACATCTTTAATGAAGAGCTGCAGAATAATCCAGAATATATGATACTGTCCGAAAGTGTGAATAAGATGAACTTCACAACCTTTAATCTATTTGAGGGCAACAAAAAGAGAAAAAATCTCATGTGACTAATATTAAACATGAGCTTTTCTTAAACCTCACACTGACATTAGCCCGTGGGTGCCAAAGACATTTGCATGACACTGGCATGAAAGAACAGATAAGAAAGAAACAGGAACTAGAAAAATTAGTTCCTGGCTCTACAGATACACTCTGTGTTTGTTTTCACCTGCAGCAGATTTAAGTTCAAACCAGACATAGATGACTCAGACACTGACAAAGAAAAATTCATTCTACGCAAGTACATCTATCAGGCTTTATATAACAACCACTGTGTTGCTTAATATCACAAATCAGTATGCAAACAGCCCACATGTGACTGTGTTACAGGGTGAAAGGAAACGCTCTGAGGTTGAGGACGACTCTGAGGGTTACTGGGGAATCCTGTGATGAAGAAACTCACTGTTTTGCTCTCAGGAGGGTTCACCTCGTCTCCCTCTTTGGATTCAGCAGATTCATCTTGTTTGAGTCCCTCGTCATCGGACTGCTTCTGCAGCAGAGTAAATAACTTATTCAATAACTGATTTGATTGAATTGATTTTAATGATTGATTTGAAATTGCGTTCTTCAAAAATGCAGTGGAAGTATGATAACGGCTGCACTTACTGCAGTGATAATATTGTACGTAAGTGATTAACAGCTAATATTTCAACCAGAAATACAAAAAAGAACATTAAATAACCCATTTTGCCTTTAAATAAACTTAAAGGTTCCCTGTTAAGTTTTGACTACATGTAGCACTGTGAGCAGTTCTTTTATGAGTGCCTCCCTACTTTGTTTCATCCACATGAGGACGCACATAAATGCATGCGAGGACACAGGCATGGTAATTTGACATCATGCTGTTGGTTTCACGCTATTCCACAAATTGACTGTTGGTTGTGGCCAAAATGTAAAAATGCACCAGAAAAAGAAGTTAAAGAGGAGGAGTGCTAGCTGGAAAATAAGGATGTTTACAATAGTGACTTCACAATATTTCAAAAATCAGATCAGAAAATGTTTTATGTAGAAGGAAATGCACTCAGCCCTTTTGCTACACATCAAAGACACACAATGGTTTCCTTGTTGACAACACAAATGTTATGTGGCACCTTTAAATGTATTTTAGCATTAGCATCTCTTTTAGATAAAATGAATCCATGGATCAGGGAATGACCTCCAGCATTGCCAATAACTGATATTCTACATTTACCAGCCCAGTGTATGAGCACACCCTATATCACAGTCTAACTCTTGTACTGTGTGTACACGTCAATACCTGATGGTTGTTCTTCTGCTTTTGCAGACCACGAGTCGGTGCTCTGTTCATCTCCTGTAATTAAACCAGAACAGTTTCCTAGCAGTCCAGCATCGATACACACTGATACACATCAGCTGGACATTGATACAAACAGACAACGTTCCCCTGAACACTGAAGTCTTACTGTACCTCTTCTGATGGTCTGGTAGGAACTACAGGAGTCTCTGCAGGCTTTTCTTTTTTCTGTCTGGAGATCATGTCCTTTTTATCCTGTCGAGGACAAATAAAGACATTTGTTCCGAAAACAGAACCCCCCCCAAAAAAGTGACACCTTATCGATATCTTATAGATACAGATATCTTCAACTGTAATAAGACTCTGTGGACAACAGAAATATACACACAACCCACACATCATTTTGTAGATCTGAAAGGTGCAAACTGTACCTGATTATCCTCCGTCCCTCTTGGTTTCACTTTGTCATATGTGGACGTCCTCTTCATCTCCTGCAACACAAAACAGAGACAGACAGAGAAGTCAGAGTAGCCTCACACAGACCACATGTCACTGAGAGGCAGTTGTGTCCGTCTGCATGCGAACCTCTTCAGTTGGTCTGGGTGGGACCAGTGGTGTTTCACTCCTTTCCTTCCTTTCTTGCTGGATCATGTTGCTTTTGACCTGACAAGGACAGACACACACACACAAAGTCACACAGTGTGCTGGAGCAGGAGGACAGCAGGAGGACTGACAGCGAGCAGGCAGGATTTAAAGGGAGGTAAGGGGATGAGGGGGATGTGGTGGAGGTACGGAAGACGAGGAGTGTGAGGAGCTGGGGTATTTTAGAGAGAAGTTGATCAGCCGTGCGTGTGTGTGTGTGTGTGTGTGTGTGTGGTCACTGATGACTCATGAATGATGCAATAAATAGACTGACCGGTTTCAGCTTCCCTTCCACTTGTTTCTCGTTCTCCTTGAGCGTCTCTGTGTCTTCAGTGTCTTTCTGAACAGAGGAAATCAAATATTAGATATTAAACTGTATCGACCACAATCACCTTTCATATCTGTGGTGTTTAAAGTACTTTAGCACCACAACAGCAAATCATTTTGCCGACCATTTTCAAATACCTTTTAGATTTTCAGATGCACTTTACCTTACCTACCATGGTAGCCATTGATTTTCATTCACTTCTGTACGGCACAAAAATCAAATGGCAGACTTTTGGAACTTGTTTGACTTATGTTATTCGTCAAAAAAGAACATCATGTCTGCATGAAGTTTTTGTCAAAGCTGCAAAGAATATGATATGGAAATGATGGAAACCAATGGTTTTCTCAGAGGGTAGAAAAAATAAACATAAAAATCTATAATCGCAAAATGGTTAGCTGTGATTAAAAGTCTATGTAAAGTCTGGAGTCAACATGGAAAACTACTGTTATGGTCCATTATGAGCTCAGCACATCAGTGCTAAATCCCTACAAACATCACCACCACCATTACCTTTATCACCGTCCCATCACCACTATCATAGTCACGGTAACCTCACTACCACCTCCACCATCACCAAACACATTTAACAGCACAATTACTTTATTTGCAGAGCGGAATGGATTCAGTTTGGACATGGCTCCAATCATGGCGTTCTGAGAGGAAGAACATCATTCAAAGGTTTCAGTGGATGCCTCAACATTTTTGTTTTGCATCTGCAGTGAAGCTCTAATTAGTCTATTCTGTTGAAATCAGAGGGCACAGACAGATGATCAGAGGCCAACAGTAATGTTATGAGAACTAATGAGCTGTAATGAACATTGCAAACAAAAGTATGTCAACACAAGACTATTAACCTCCTGAGCAGACAAGGAGACTTGGTTGTTAAGAGGCTGTTCAACGAATATGTCTGCAGAGAAAAGTCAAGGCTGAACTTTTTAATTAGTTGGCTTCAGTTGCTTTTATTCATACACTATCAGAAACCAGTCAGACTGCCATGTTTTATAGCTTTCCTACTGATGTAGTTCAGTATTATGTGCATTTTTCCCTAGGAGTTGGGATGCTGAACAGTAACTGCAGCCCCCCCCCCTTCTCCCTTTATTTTCTTGACCTCTCTTTACTGTGAATTTGGTAATAAAGGCCTAAAACTGCCCCCCCCAAAAGATCCTGTTTGGTGTAAAACAAGAGAAGCTGAATACAGATATTTGAAGCTGTTCTCTGAAAAATTTAGTTGAAAGACTTGAGGTATGCAGAGCTCAACAAGACCAGGCAAGACAAGTTATGCTGGACTGAAGGTAGAGCCTGTGGGTAAAATGTTTGTTAAAAACTTTAGCATCTGACTCCTGACCTTTTCCCTCTTTTGTACGTAGGCAGAATGAAGTGCTTCACAATGCTTCTCATTCACCCGTTCAAACACGCACACACGCACGCACGCGCGCATGCACGCGCGCACACACACGCACGCACCAGTGGTGGTAAAGCAAGACACTAAACCCCTGATGCCACCTGTGGTGTGTAGCAGCATGAACAGAAAAGCAGCAAACCTCTCCTTGATTAATAACAGCTAAATAAAACAGAGGCTTTTCTAATTGTCAATGAAGCGTCCTCTGATAATAATAAATAAAAAGAACCTGTTAAAAGGTTTAAAAGTTTATAAAATTTATAAAATAACAGTGAAAGAGGTACAGAGCACCTGTTTGTTTCCGGATGACTTGTCACTGCTTGCAGGTGGTTCCTCGTCATCAGAGCCTGTCTGCTTCTCACTCTGCACAGAAATCATTATTTTATGAAAAACACATAAATGAAGCTGAGCAGTTCTTTTAACATATCATACATAATATTTCTTGAGCACTATCAAAGGATTACAATCCAAACCATCCTCACTTTGTTCGCAGATCGAAACGGATTCAGCTTCGTCATTGCCTCAGCAAGTTTATTCTGAACACGAGAAAAGAAATAAACATAAAATAAAGACCACATACATGAATGAAAACTGCTGAAACCAAACAAAAAGACAAGAACTTAACTGAAGAAATGAACATTTAAAAACCTCACTCACCTGTTTGTGACCTGGCTGGCCCTCTCCATTGTCCAATGTCTCCTCACCATCAGTGTCAGCATTCTTCTCCTGCTGATGGAGCCAATTATTGTAATTAGTGGATAAACAACAGTAGCTCTAGTAGAACTATATCCAGCTTTACATCATCTGTGAATTTCTTTATACTAAAACTTCTTTCTGCTAGAGACACTTTAGTTTCAGGGGAGTGTGATGGGAGAGATGAACTGATGACATGAAGCAAATGTCAACTCTTACCTGTCTGTCAGTGGAGAACGTGTTCTTCATCATCGCACTCAGACCGTTCTGAAATAAAACAAAGACACTGTTTCTGCCCACTTAAAAAAAACAAAAAAAAACAAAAAAAACAAAGCAGGTTTTAGCCCTGATTCTCATCTTCACATCACAGCAGATCTTATTCCTAAACATTCAGATAAAAAATATTCCATCATCATTTCTATGAGCCTGTTACTAATTTTAGAAAGCCGGTTTTCACACCACCGTGTCTCTGTACAGTCTAAATTCAGTTATGTAACAACCAACCTGCTTGGCTTTGGGCTTCTCTGTGGAAGAGGTATTCTCATTTGAGTCTCCTGAGTGTTCAGTCTTGTCCTTTTCCTGATATAATACAAGGCACAAAAACAGCATTTGACCAGTCAGAAAACATAACCAGCAGGCTGGTAGAGTACTTGATATGATGCAGCATTGACCGAAAGAGAAAATGACCTGGGAGGAGGAAGTGAAAGGATTCTTGAGGATTTTTGCTGCGACTCCACCCTGACAGATTACACAAAGCAGTTCCAGTTACAACGTGACATGATCAGCTGTTTAATGCAGTGCAGGTCCAAGTGAAAACTTCTTGAACTAACTAAACACAAGCATGCCTCATCACTCACCTTTGAAGACTTCTCTATGAGACTGTCACTGCTGGCAGAGAGTTCGCCATCCATAGACAAATCATCCTAAAAAGAGTGAGACATTATAACACTCATGTTGTAAAAACCAAGACAACAAAATAAAATAACCTCCAGGTCTGTGCGCATGGCTACCAATAGACTATAAAAGACTAGGCTAATAAAGTGAAGGAGCTCTGGGAAAAGATGTTTTGAGTTAACGACTAGAACTGCCGCCTTGCGGTTGTATTCCTCTGCCGACCTGTCATGTTGCAGGAAATATGGTCACAATCTTCCCTTACTGAGCAACAGCATTGAATAATGGCCAGAAATGTTTTTACAGAACATTATGATGTCACAATTTGGATATAAAATCTCACCACTTCATCATTTTATCCTATTAGAAATTTATGTTAAATTGTGTTTTAATTAGCGTACGAAATCTGCAGTTATGGCCAAAAATGTGTTTTGTGAGGTCACAGTGACCTTGACCTTTGACCACTAAAACCTAATCAGTTCATCCTTGAATCCAAGCGAAGTCGCAGGTCACTTACCTGGGACTGAGATTTGGCACCTTTTTTCCTGAACACGCCACTCAGGAGTCCTCCTTTCTCCTGGGAAAACAATATGCAACATTAACAGTTACATGATTAATGGTGATGGTTGAAGTTACTGTTTCAGTGGAGGATGGAGGAGGCGGTTTTTAACAAACCTCACCTTCGTATTGTTCTCAGAAAGATTGTCACATCTGCCTGAGAGCTCGCTGGGTGCAGACAAATCGTCCTGAAAGTGACAAACAAATGTCAACCAACTACTTTATCATGTCCCAGTAATGTAATACAACTAAATGTGAGACAAGTGAGATGCACAATTCTCACCTGAGATTGTGTCCTCACGCCGAAGGGCTTTGGAGATTTTTTAAATATTCCACTGAACATCCCACCTGACTCCTGAAGAAGGAAAAAGTCACATTATATGTACATTATATACAGCGCAGCATCAGTATAAACGTTCCAAAATGGCTCCAAAGTACGGCTCAGATGTTACAGATTACAGTCTGGTAGTGTAACATTATACAGGAAAGGTTCAGAAAAGCTCACCTTAGTGTTTCCATTTACAGAAAGATTGTCGGTGCTGCCCGAGAGCTCACTTGGTGCAGCCAAATCATCCTGAAGGAGAGAAACAAGCATCTCCAACCAATTAATCTTATTGTCTCCAAATGATGTGAAGCAGGTTAAAGTGAATGAGCTAAATGTCCAACTCTCACCTGAGATTGTGTTCTTGCCCCAAAGGGCTTTGGGGATTTTTTAAACATCCCACTGAACATCCCGCCTGACTCCTGTAGAAAGAAAAAAAAAAAGTCACGTAGTAATTACTCACACTATATACATGTTGCTTGAGATCAAATAGTGTCTATTTTTTTTATTTTTGAACTGATGCAGCTTTCAGATGGACAGACAAGGATTCACACATCAGCCAGTACTTTCTTTCAAATTGCTGATGAATGCAGGTTTCCCTCGCTCTTTCCAAACACACAAAAACAAAAACAATACACGCCCCCAAATCCTCTATTCAATGAGTCGAGCTCTGCACATCAGAAATCCCCAGCATATGTCACTGGCGAACTATCTCAGTGTTTTTGTACAAATAAATGTTTCTACCCTCTAATGCCAACTTCTGTCTGAAAACATGGAAATCACATGACCAAATATCACATAAAGTGTCTGTATCATTTAGTGGAATTTATTTGTTTATTAAATGTACTGTATAATTTTATATTATTAAAATTATTAGGTTTTAACTATATTTTTTCAGTGTTTTGTTGTATCTTGGTTTTATCTGTTATATCTTATGTATCGTATCACAACTTTTGTTCAGGCTGTGATCCCTGATTGATCTACGCTGGCTTTGTTGATAAAGATGTTTAAAGATTGCTTGGAACTTAAAAAAAATATTTCCTAAATGAACATTTTAAAAAAAATAATAATTTGGCTGATGAGACTCACCTTAGTGTTGGTGTTCTCAGACAGACTGTCGTTACTGACCGAGAGCTTATCGTCCAAAAGATCCTGAAACGTAAGACAATCCGTCAGTTTATTACCGAAATAACCCAACACCACATGTTACACGGCAGAAATGAAGCTGATAATTGTATTTCCCCGGTGTGTGCAGTACATGTAATAGACCGTGTAATAGAAGATTGTGTTTCACCTGTGAAGGCCTCCGGACATGTCCTGGTTTGGGAGATCGTTTCAGTATCCCACTGAACACACCTGATTTGTCCTGGAGACAAAATGGCAGAGAAAGGTTTAGTTTCAAAGACTAACGTGAGTGACCTGTGTGGGAGAACCAAAAGTATCACAGAGCAGAAACTGAACTCACCTTCGACGACTTGTTATTGTCTGTTAAGCTGTCGCTACTGGCAGAGAGTTCAGGATTTTGTAATGAGAGGGTGGCCTGTGAACACAAAAAAAGTTGAGTACCTAATCTGAATATTTTCAAACAACTTTGGAAACACTCATATTCAAATATATACTGTATGTATCATATTTATTCATGTATTTTTAATCACACATTGCAAGGACTCAGGTCAGAGTCTTACGGTAATTACTAGAGGTTTAGAGAATTACAAAACTAATATAAATAAATAAAACATGTAAATAAAAGGATGAAAATCTTCTACTGGATTTTGATGCCTTGTTTGTTAAAAATAAAGGCAGCCTGACACACCTTTCTTTTTCTGTGACCTACAGTAACCTCTGGCTGCACATGTGGTATTCATGTAGGACAATGTTTTCATTGATGATTTCCTAATGGTTTACTTTTTCAATTAATAAATTAATTGTTTAACCCAAAATATTCAATTTAAAACTGTTTAAAACAAAGAAAAGCAGCAAATCTTCACATGTAAGACTTAGGAACCAGCAGATGTTTGACATTTTTGTTTGATAAATGGTTTAACAATCGATTGCTAAGCAAAGTATCTGTTAACTAATTGATTAATCGACAAATCATTACAGTTCTAGTGACCAGTCGCATGTTTTTAATATAAAAAACAAGCTGTACAGCACAGTAAGTTGAAGAAGGCCACTACAAACCTGTGGTTGATCGTCTTTGGTGGATTTGGTCGTCTTCTTAAACATTCCTTTAAACACGCCTCCTTTGTCCTGAAACATGAATTCATATGTCAGTCACTGTCACTGAAAAATAATGTGATACAATATCTCCTCAGTTTACAGTAGTCAGTGGTGATCAGAAAACTGAAATAAGGTTTGAATAGAAAATTGAAACAAAGCACAACACAAAGAGTTTACACGCCTTGGAGTCGTTGTTGGCTGCCAGACTGTCGTTGCTCTTTGAAAGTTCACCATTGGCCGATAAATTGTCCTGTAATGTCAGCATAAAGTATTTGTGTGAGTATATGTAGAATCAAATATTGTAAATCCAAGATTACATTATATTGTGACTATTATGCCTAAACAAAATAATAGTTACTGTGGTTTTATTCTAATCTAGTCTTAATCTTGTGAATTAAAAAGCTGACAAATCAAGCTACATCATCACATACAAAAAAATCCTGTAAATGCAGTATTGCCATTAAGTACTAGTTAGTGACTTACAACACTGAGGACAATGACTACGTACAGTACAACTAATGATACTAAAGAGCTGACAAGTTTCTATCAAACCACTGTATAAACTGTCATATTGCTCAGCTCTACAGCGTAGTAGCTCATCTCTAGCTTTAAATTAAATAAAGTAAAAGTTAAAACTACAACAACACCTGTGCTTGAGCAAATGGTTCTGCAGACTTGGAGGATCTCTTGAACATCCCACCGAATAACGCTGCTTTTTGCTGAATGAGGGGAGAAGAAGTAAAAGAAGAGAAAAAAATATACTAAAAATGTATTTGAACTAAAAATGTACCTCAAAAATGTTACGGATGAAATCATAAAAACAAGAACCATCTCCACTGTTGTTGTCTGTCAAGCAGGTGTCAGTACTGACACTGAAGCCACTTTCAGTATGAGTGGGTAACTGAGGTGTAAATATACACTGTCATGACCTGTGAGTCAGCAGCATAAATCTGTCCCACTGATCACCAGCTTTATATGGAGACTGAGCTGGGTGACAGTTCACTCAAGATTTTATGGATAAAAGGATGTGTTTTTTTTTTTTTATTCACATCTCAGAGTCCAGCTTCATGTCCAGATTTCAAGTCTGGACTTGAAGCTGGTTTCATGCCTGGGCTTGAAAACCTGATGATTGTCTTGTGCACTACTGAAGTACAATATAAACTCTGTTGGGTCCTCCACCCTCTATCTTGTACCTTAGTGTCGCAGAGGCACCCTGTGTCAAAACTGAGTTATAATACCATCATTGGTATACTTTATATTATGCTAATTTGTTGCAATTTTCTGTTTTATTATTTGCTTTAATTTTTCAAGTAATTACCTCTATTAGAGTAATATTGTTTCTACACAGTATTGTCAGGCTACAACCAACAATTATCTTCATCATCAATAAATCTGACAATTATTTTCTTTCATAATCCATTGATTGTTTAGTATGTACAATAAAACATATCATAAAATAGTCCAACCTGCCTGTCATTATTCCCTGAAGCCCAAGTTAACATGTCTAAATGTCATGTTTTGTCTGACCAGCTGCCAAAAAACAGAACTGAACTCAATCTAGCAAATATTCACATTTGAGCAGCTAGAGTCAATGAACCTTTAACACTTTCCTTTAAAAATGACAAGTTATCATTTATCAAAAAATTATGCCAGTTAATCAACTAATTGATTAATCAACTAATTATTTCAGCTCTAGAGCACTGGTTTGTTTATGGGTACTTAAAGAAATAATGTCTGGTGGGGGTCTGTCAAAACAGATTTTTGCCCCATGACCCTCTAGGAAGTTGATCCAGCCATGACACTCAAACTAAAGATGAAAGTCATCGCTTTATCTTCACAGTCATTGTTTATTGTCACGAAAATGAGTCAGTGTCCATATTTGTGAACCGCACCGTGCATTTGTTTTGTATATGGAAATTTTCAGTCACACAGATTGATGTCAGGTCGGTAACCTGCACAAAACACGTAAATAACTGGCTCTGAGAATAAAAACACTAACTCTGCAAACCTTAAAAGTAGCTTAAGTAGCAGCTAAAGTTGCTAAAGTGACATTAAAAACATTGAAAATGTACTCACTGCAACGCCTCCTCCATCACACTCCAAGTCCAGGTCGTGGTACCGATCCTGTCAAACAATAACGGCATGTCCTGTCATTAACGGTTATTTATGAATACATTAACCCACATTTTCAATCATTATCATGCAGTTTGTGTCGAGAAGAAGCTATAGGCAAACGTTTAAGTTCAACCTTTAACTCACCATTGGCGACTCTTCGTCTGTCCTTGTTTAGTGCTGTTACTCCGCTGGTTAACCGACGGTAGTGGATAAATATTGGTGGAAATGTTTCAGTCCTCGGCAAGAGTTTAGGTCCTAGACATGGTTCCCGTGTCGATACTGTCGGTTGTTTTCACTCGCTGTGATGTGGAGTTAAAGAGCCTCCCTGCTCAGTGAAAAAAAAAGCTGGAGATCAGAGACTTCCCACTGATCCTTGTGACTTCCGTGTGGGTTTTCATAAAGTGCACACTGAGACCGGCGGATCCAGTTTTTGCTCTTCTACCTGTGTTTTGCTGTGTTTTGTCCTCCAGGAGAGGGTGTGTCTGTCTCACCTGACAACTGCGGTTCAGCCTGATGCTGCTTTCAAGTGCTGCTCGTACTTTTTCGACTGCTCGCGCTAAAACATTTCGGCCAATGAAAGACGAAATACTTTATTTATTATTTTTTTATTGAGGTGTTCATGCCCTTTTGACTGAATAAAAACATATGATGCAAATTAAGTCTGCGTGTATGTTTTTTTTGTATCATATATGGCAAAAGCACAAATACACATTTTGTACATATTTATTAACTTATCAATTCTATTTTAAATATATAGAATGATGTATATTACTGAATACATTTATTTAAACCTTAATGTGTGTGTGTGTGTGTGTGTGTGTGTGTGTGTGTGTGTCTTTAGACAAGGCAAAGCAAAGCAAGGGAAATTTATTTGTATAGCGCATTATCATACACAGAAGTCATTCAATGTGCTTAAGAGAAATAAAAGAATCATAAAAAAGTAAAAAGAAAAAAGAAAGGTAAGTAAGTAAAAGTAAAAAGCATCATAAGATAGATAAGTATAAAAACACAGATTATGCAGTAGGTGATATCTAACCTTTTAGGCTTATATACATTGAACTTCTCAGAAATATATTAGGGCCCAGACCATTTAGTGACTTTTAGATAATAAGTAAAACTTTGAATTCAATTGTGTATCTGACTGGAAGCCAATGCAAAGACCTGAGAACTGGAGTAATATTCTCTTAGCTTTAGTCAGAACCTAACAGCAGCATTCTGAATAAGCTGTAGCTGGCTAATGGTCTTATTTGGTAAACCAGTGAAGAATGCATTGCAATATAATCTGAAACTTTAATGCTGTAGCCGGTAAAGGTGGGGATGTTTGGGGATTGTAATAACTTTATATACTGCTGGGTTGCTAAATGTAAAATCATAATTTGTAATTTGTCCCTTCAGATAATGTCAGAATAAACAAATATGATAAAATGCAATGTGGCAACTATGGAAGAGCAGAATTCCGTTAAGACGGTCTATAAAAAAACACATGTTGAAGCATAATTAAGATTAAATAGTGATTTTTATGGTTCCATCTTTACATTTGTTTAATGGTGAAATCATAGAAATTCAATTTCTAGTTTTATTTACTTAACATGTTTTACTGTGGCTCATTATCGACAGATAACAGAGTTGTAAAACAGATGATAAAATGAGCTTGCACACACGCAGATGATAAGCTGTGTTTACATGTCTGACATTCATCTCTCACCGTTTCAGAGGGTCTTGCCAAAATCTGACAATAACATGACAGTCACTACCCCTTCGTTTATCCAAGTAATATAAAAGAAATGCTACTAGCTCTAGATCTATCACTGACAAATTAGTTAAACATGAAGAAAGTATTTTATAGAATATTTTTTATAGGTAAACTCATGTTTCGCTATTAAACCAAACAACAAAGTGTCAACTGCACATGATTTATTGTCATATTGTCAAAGAAAATATCCATTATGGTTAATGAACCCATTCCAATTCAAATGTTTCTCATCACACCTTCCTATTTTCATTCCATTACAATTTTCAAATAAAAAACCCATTAATAAATTAAGCTCACATGAAACTATAACATAACATTTTTATAGCTTGTTTTTATACTTGCTTGTTATATTTGCAAGTTTCTAATAATCTTAATTAAAGGCACATGTAGACATAACATAATTACAGCATTACAACTGTAAAACAGTCAACCCTGTGTATGAGATGTTAATATTTCAACTTGTTTTAGTTATACATTTTATTGCACATTTACTGTCATTGAAACAAAAAAGAATCACAACATTTCTATAATCTTTGGTTATTGTAATGATAGAGTATTTCCTAAATCCTGAATTTTGTGTGTAAAATCTAGAGGATTATTCCTTCCAGGAGAGAAAGTAGATCTTTCCCTGTCCGTCACCACAAACTAGTTCAGTAGGTTTTTCTGGATTCACCTCCAAAACCAGGACAGGACCTCCACACACAAAGATACCCACCTGGAGGAGGGAAGAGAAAGAGAGTGTAGAAAAGTTATTCAAATATAGGTTCAAATATTTGAAAAAATAAACATTATTTCAGGGGAATGGATACATTTGTCAAAACGCTGCATAGGAAGAAAGCCCAACTTTAAAATAATATCTAAAAGTTCAAGTCTGAGCCAATAAATCTAAAAGTCTAGCTTTATTGCACTATACTATATAAATCCCAACTCTCAGTACTTTTTGAGTTCCCTACTGTGTCTCTGGTTCTCAGGCCCAGCCCATTCATTATATTCTGGTCTGAAATCCAGACCAAATAGGTCGTTTGGATACACATTCAATAATACTGATCCATTCTTTGTTGGTTTTGGTCTTTTCATGGGTTTCAGTGACAAAACAAAAACTGCAGAACATCACCAGACTTATCATTTAAGACTATAACGTACCTGTTTCTTGGTGATTCTGTCCCACAGCTTCACTGTCCTGTCGTAGGAGGCTGAGACGATGGTGCTGTTGGTGAGTCTCAGCACACTGATCCTGTCACTGTGAGCCTGAGGGTAAAAATAAAAATTACAAAGTACAGCGGCTGATTACTTGCAGGTCAGGTGTTTTTTTAAGGGAAATTTCAAATCTGAGATTGTGATTTAAAAGTAGCACTTAAATGATTATTCAATCAAGAGAAAATGAATCAAAAACAACTGATTCTTATAAATAATCCATTAATGATTTACTGAGCAAAAATACCAAACGTTGGTGGTTCCACCTTCTCTTATGTGAGGATTTGCTTCTTTTCATCACTGAAATTTTAATGTTGTTGGGTTTTTAAATTGCAATTCAGACGAAGCATGGTTTGCTTTTTAAAGACGTCACCCGGGAAGATGTGATGTGCCCTTTTCACTATTCTATGACCTTTTATTAGTTAAATTAACAATGAAAATTGCTGTACCTCATTAAAAACTGTATGTTGGAAAGTTAACCGAGAGTAACTTTTTTTTTTTTTGATTTCATTCACAGTGTTACAATGTAACAGTGGTGGAGCAAGATTTGAATTGAGATCCTTAAGTAAAAGTACAGAAATATTAAATATTAGCAAAATGTACAAAAAATATCAAAGTCAAAGTAGTGGTTCTGCAGAAATGGCCCCTGTGAGTGTCTGCCTTTTATATACTGCATCATATCATTGGATTATTATCACTGATGCATCAGGGTGTAAGCAGCATGTTACTGTTGGTGGTCTAGTTGGTTGAGGTGGAGCTGGTTTTAACTTTTTTATAAATTGTTGGGTAGTTGATTCTGTAACACTGCATATTTTATAAACTCATATGTTTTCCATATGATGTAAAATATTAATCTGTGAAGTAATTATTAACCATAGCTGTGAGATAAATGTATTGGAGTTAAAAGTACAGTATTTTTCTCAGTAATGTGCTGGAGAAGAATTCATTAATCATCAGGTGTTTACAAACACTCATCACAGACATGAAAGTCATGGCAATATTGGACTTTCAGTGATTTAAGATGTATGTTGTGGACTCATTCCTTCCCAGAAAAAGAACAGTTCAGAGAAATCACTGAAAGTCCAATATTGCCAATATTAATTATACTCCATTACAGTAGTTGGTGAGATGTACTTAGTTACTTTCCACCACTGCGATATGAAAATATGCAGCAGTCGTGTGTCAGAGTCAAGAGTCTCTTACAGGTTTTCTGCTGCTCCATGATGAAACCTCTGCAGGCTGGTGGAACCACATGTTTCCCTTCATGTCTCCACACACCACAAAATCTGAAAGAACATTCAACACATTAGATGATCACATATTAAAACAATAAAATAAAAAGCCGGCATGTACAGAGGCAGCAGTAGTTCTAGTAGCTATGGTTTTGCTTGAAGTGTAATTGCAACAGCTGCAGTGAAAACAGTATTGATGTTTGTGTTTCAACGATTCAACGATCAATTCATCATTTAAGCCATTTTTAAAGCAAAAATACCAAACGTTCCTAGTTTGTACCTCTGTCCACAGTTATAGCTGTTATCGGGCTTCTGTTCTTATCCCTCTCCTCCTCCTCCTCCTCCTCCCACTCCAGTTCCACCGAACTGAAAGCTGAATATAGACAACTTTTGGAGCCTATGGTAAACTGAAGAAAGAGAGGACACCGTCATCAAACAGCATTTCTTTTTACCAAAAACAAAGTTTGTGGTGCGCTGGACTTGAGTTTTGACTTAATTTGTAATGATGATGACGTGCCCGCTAAGATGGACAAAAGGAAAAGAAAGTAAACTGGTATTTTTGTTTCTATCTAGGAAGGTTTGTCTACTTAGCTCTATAATCATTCTGTGCCCAAGCTAATACACAATATTTTATTCCCAAGCATGACCTGAGAGTTAGGGCAAACATACTGACGTTTTTTTAGTCTTCCTAAATTCTTAATCTTAAATCGTTACTGTTCTAATGTACAAGTCCTTCTCGCCATCAAAATAGTGATGACAGTGAAGTGTTATCTTTAATGTAAAGCAATGATACTGAGGATATGATTTGCAGGCTTGGTAAAACTCACAAGG